CGTGAATAATTTCCATCAAAAGATAAGACGGAGTTCGTTTCGTCTTCGTCTATCAACTCGGGGTCTTCGAAATTGCTTCCCAAATAACAATCGGAATCGTATATCTCGCGATTTTCGCTGTTCACGTCCTCGTGAAAGTCATCCATGCCTACCTCTGACAAAAGATCCTCTTCGGCTCCTCTGTAATGATCGGCGGGAGTAGTCACGGCATCTAATGCACTCAATTTCCGCGAAGCCTGGGAATCATATAGTTGCTTCTGCGCAATCTTCCAGAGGGCGGTCTGTATTGCTGCTCTAAAGTCGGTCGGCCCTGTTGCTTGAGACACTTCTGCTCGAGGATTATGCAAAGCTTGAAGGTCTTTGATTCTGCTTTGCAAAGTCGGATCTCTCGTCGTCTTCAGAAGCGATGCGAGGGACTTCGCGACGGACGGAATCAAGTGGGATCGCTGGTTCATGGCCTGTGAATGGAGAAGTGTGTGTCAGTTGTATGCGCCCTTCTTGGTGAAAGCCAATCCGGAATAGTACCTCACGGTAGCCTAAGCTGAACATCGAAGGCACAATGCGTGCCAGTGGTTGAAGATCTCTATCTGAGCTCGGAGTGCGTGTATCACTCTCCCGATGTCTTTCGACTATGAGCGACCGAAKACCTTTCCTGAGCAGTTGATCAAGCTCGTGGTAAGTCTGACTATCGCGGTCTTCCTCCATTCGGTAGTCATCTTTCATATCCTCAAGCTCCTCCAAGAACAATAGTGTGCTGCTGTCCATGAACTCGTCTACGCAGTCTGTCACCGTCATAGGAAGCTCCGGGAGACTTTTTACTATACCCCCTCGCTTGCGCTTGACTATAAATGTTTCAGAAGATATTGGGATCAACAGCTTCGGCGGTAATGGGAAGTATTCCTGTCTGGCTTCTTTCGAGTCGTAGACTTCAAGGAGCACGTTTATCGTAGACAAGTATGCTGTGTGAATATTCGCAGGAGCAGCAGCATCCCCGTCGTGTTGCGCTGATATTGGTACTCGGCAGATTCTGTTTGACGGCCGTCCAGCCTTTCTTCGCAATCCAAAGGAAAGCTTAATGGTCGTTGAGTTGTCCAATCTGGAAAAACTGTCGCAGCTTCTGAGCAGGACAGCAAGATCCAAATCTGACCAGAGCTGCAGGGAGCCTGTTAATAAATGGATCGATCATAGCCCTGTGTAAGTGGCTCTCGGCCCGTGATAACGTACTTTCGACTTGCGAATTATATCTCCTACCTGAGAGATGAAAGATGGAACTGAGTCAGGGAAATGAGCTCTGGTAGTAGCGATGACATGCATTTTAATTTCTGGTGATTGGGCTATCCATATCAATCCAGAATCTATCAGCGTACTGGGATCCTCAGGGTGCTCAGGATCTAGATTTCCTAGATTTTCTGCAAGAGATATGTCCAACGAGGCACGTAGCATCAGGGACAAATCTGAGTTGGAGTGGGAGAGATGAATTATATCTTGCCCTAGGTCAATGACCAGGGCCATGGTAAATAATGATTCGATGCTTTCAGCAGTGATTGATGATTCCCGTAGCAGTTAGAGAGGAACTGGATTGGCAGGACTTCTGCGTACCTTAGCTTAGCCTTCTTCAGGCAGGGGCGGCTGCATTACCATAATAAAGGGGAAGACATACAGCAGCGGCCATATTCAGGCACATTTATTATATATTTATCAGGGGCAACTCATCGGTTTGGTTTACTGCTATTTACTGCATCCAGTAAGAGACTACTGCAATTAGGCTATGATACAATCTTCCCGGTAGGTTGTAACACTGATTGTTAGGAAAATTACTTACATTCAGAACAGCAGATATTTTGATAAGCATCATAGAAAGAACATCATGCGCATGCTTACTTCTCCATTCAACCTAGGTCTGTCCAATATTGGAAAAAATGTAKATCAAATATGGCCAAAATGTTTAGCAGATTAGCACTGTGACGTGGAAGTATAACCTGTAGATGTGATTGGCTGTAGTCTTCTTTGTCTGCTTATCGATAAGCGCCATCACGTGTGAATCTTTGTGGTTACCTGGCCCCAAACAGACGATCCGTTCATAAAAAAGTGAGGTTACCATGAGCTTCAAAATCAGCAATGAAAGAGGATGAAGGACGGGAATCTCTATTGCTTGACCATTATGGTCCAGATGGAGGAGAATCTCAATCGTCGCTCTCGGGATCTTCAAGCAAAGAAACCGACCTGACAACCTATCCCCTTCCAAATAGCTCTCCCCTGACCTCCCCTTCTGCTCCTCCCGGTTCGCACCAATATCGATCGTCGATATCTCAGCCTGTCCCTGATGGGCAACGTCGCCCTCGCACAATGAATCGTGTTCGGTTTGATATTGAGGAAGAGTCGGAAGAGGAAAGTCTCCCGAATGGACACCCTCGCGACTCGGAGGACTTGTGGTTGGAGGAGGAGGATTATGCACGGCCAAACGCGAGCCGATCGGGGAGAAATGGCAGAGGTCAGATGGTCCCTCTTTTGACGGATATAGAGGCGCCCAGTGTAACCCTTGCGACCTCCGAGGATTTCTTCCCTGAGGATCATCTCGAGAACGCGAGGCCGAGGAGCGGAATGCGGATGGCCTTCATGAACATGGCCAACAGCATTATAGGAGCTGGTATCATCGGACAACCTTACGCGCTTCGGCAGGCGGGCATGACGATGGGAGTTTTGCTTTTATGCGCGCTCACAGTCACAGTGGATTGGACGATTCGCTTGATTGTGGTCAATTCTAAATTGAGCGGTGCGGATTCCTTCCAAGCAACGATGCAGCATTGTTTCGGGAAAAGTGGTCTCATTGCGATCTCCGTTGCTCAGTGGGCTTTTGCCTTTGGCGGCATGATTGCATTCTGCATAATTGTGGGCGATACTATACCGCATGTTTTCAGCTCTCTATTTCCTTCCCTCCGAGACATGTCCTTCCTCTGGCTCCTTACGGACAGGCGAGCTATTATTGTTCTTTTTGTCCTTGGAGTCTCATATCCATTATCTCTGTACCGGGACATTGCCAAGGTGCGATTCTAATACTCTTTATGCAGCGGACGAACATTTCCGAGGCTAACAATGTAGTAGCTGGCTAAGGCGTCGACGTTGGCGCTCGTAAGTATGTTGGTGATAGTCGTTGCTGTAATGACCCAGGGATTCCGAGTTCCCTCAGAATCTCGTGGCGAGGTGAAGAGCCTCCTCTTTATCAACTCCGGTTTCTTCCAGGCCGTGGGAGTGATATCTTTTGGTAAGTCTGCCTTGCCTAAAGAATCTGAAGTTGTATGAGATTATGTCTAACAGACCATAGCCTTCGTTTGCCGTATGTTGCCCACCGTGTATACATAATCCACAAAACCCTGACTGACCGTCCGAAAGACCACAATAGTCTCTTGATTTATGGTTCTCTCAAGAAGCCAACCATGGATCGCTTCGCAAAGGTGACCCATTACTCAACCGCCGTCTCCCTTTGTATGTGCTTGGCTATGGGTATCTCAGGCTTCCTCTTCTTCGGATCCAAGACCCAAGGCAATGTGCTCAACAACTTCCCATCTGATAATATAATGGTCAATATCGCACGGCTGTAAGACCTCCTGCATACGGCTAGCAACCCTTGCTTAACCTAACATCGAATTGTCCGCAGTTGCTTTGGCCTGAACATGCTTACAACGCTGCCCCTTGAAGCTTTCGTTTGCCGATCGGTCATGACGACCTACTACTTCCCCGACGAACCTTTCAATATGAATCGACACTTGATATTCACGACATCTCTGGTGGTGACAGCTATGGCCATGGCATTATTCACTTGTGATCTTGGGGCTGTATTCGAGCTCATTGGCGCAACAAGTGCTGCTGCTTTGGCGTATATATTTCCTCCGCTTTGTTACGTGAAGTTAAGCAATGCGAGTTGGAAAGCCAAGGTTCCCGCATATCTGTGTATCGCCTTTGGTATCACAGTTATGGGAGTCAGCCTGTTGCAAGCTGTTGCAAAGATGATAAACAGTGAGTTTGGCCCTTGGAGTTGATCTCCTTTAAGTCAGATCCGCTAACAGAAGAAATCCGCTGCGTAGACGAGGGTGGCACGAGGACTTGCAGTGCTTAGCAAGTAATAATGCCTGTCAAAATATACGATTGCACCTTTGATCAGCCCATAGACATCTCTCTCGGTCTTGGGACCGTTGTACATATACCGAATTACTTCCAAATAAACCGAACTCTTACTAATGAGAGAATACTGACATGACAGGAAGGGCCTCGTTGTAGTTTTGAAGAATCTCCAGTTTCGGGTATTCTTCCTTTCAGATACAGTGAAGCTGATTCTTTCACACGTCACCTCTGAAGGCTCTATTGGCAGCTGATGTGATCTGGGACGCTCTGAGTATGACACTAATCTTTGATCAGCTGCTTCTGAACTTAGACTTATGATCAGAGAGACACAGCGGTCTACATACCATCAATAAAGTCCTTCCGTTTTAGTCGATTAGTTGCGTTTGCACTTGACGCCGTAGCAACACACTGAACATCCTCAACACAATTTCTTCTTTGTTATTTTTCTTCTTCTCTTTTCTTTCACGCTCACCTCCCCTCTTTGTTTTCCCTGCATAATTCTCTGGTCTTTGAAGCCGTTCATTGTTCCCTTACCTCAGTTTACTCCCAAACTGCAGCAATCTTGAAGGGGATAGTCACCTTTCCTACAGACTCCCACCAGACTTTGGAAGAGTTTTTGTGTTGGCCTTCAGGTATCTTCTGACTCTGCACTGAGAACTGGAAGAGCTTGTGCTGCTTGCATCTTGAAAGACGGTACTCCAACCCATTTCGATTCGTATCAACAGAGAGTGGTGGGCCCTCTGTTGGCTCCCCCGTTGTGCCTTGCTCCATTCACTCATTCCCTTCATCGTGTCTGGTCCTGGAAACATACGTCCATTGCACTTTTGCTTACCCATTTCCATCCTCGTACGTTCATATCTTGCCGATTTAAGCAAGTCATCATGGCCGAAGAGGCAATCGAGCGTCTGAAGAAGCTTCAAATGGTAAGATAATTACGCGTTATTGATCCCGTCATAAGATGCTTGTAGAACAGTCTGACTAACACTGAACTGTATATAGGAGGACCTTGGGACGCTTAGAAGAGAGTATATCTCGACTGTTGACACCAAGAAGTTCAGGAATATTCGCCTGGAGGATATCGAAGCCACGCGAATGATAAATGTTGCTGGATCAGACGCTGCGCGTCTGGCCCAAGCGAATCAAGCACGCCTCAACGCTTGGGCAAGTGAGTCTTTCACTATATTAAAGGTTATCCAGATTATTGGCTAAGATTTGTGAAAGATGCACACAAGGATTTAGGTGACCCAGCCGATCAAGAGCCTTTAGACCATCTTTTAAACGGCCAGAGCCACCGTCTTGGACTGCGCGCCGTGATAGAAGGGAGCGGTGGCCAGTCTTACTCAAAATCCACCAAGAAGAATGATAATTTCCTTCAGGTTGCGGAACGTGCTCCGAGCGGCCGCTATGCATCAACGAGAGGCTCCAAAACAATTGGCCGCGGCGGTGGTGTCATCGGTACAAGAGGTCGTGAAACAAAGCAGACCTCGCCGAAGTAAGTGATCGATCCCATTAGCAAGCCCATGAATTTGGCCTAACCCATAGATCAGCGCTCAGACAAGAGTCACACACCAAGGCGCCGTCGCAAAGCTGGGCAACCATGTGGTCCAGTCCCCTCACGCCAGGAAGCACCTGCAGGATCCTGCTCTTGATATTAATAATGAACCGCCGAAGAAGACTAGGGGTGTATCTGGCTCAAAGTCGCAAGCAGTTGTTAAAGGTGGTAAGTACAAGCCTCTGCGAGCTTGAAAGGAAACAACCGGTTGACTCTTCCGAGAAGGCGTGAAAAAAGACCTCCTCCTTCTCAAAACAAGACGTCCTGTGTAAGTTCAATGTCCATCGAGCCTTGGACACAATCTGACATTGTGCGACAGTGGCAATACCGATTGGTCAAGAGTCCTCAGCCCTCCTGAGGACTTTCTTTCTATTGCACGCGATCGTCTGGTCAATGCGAGGGCTTCGAATGTCCCAAAAGCTGTTCTTACTACAGGTTCTGAGCAAACTCAAGTCACCGTTTGCCAGCGTGGACCAGGGGGCGTTAATTACGAAGGTTCTCAAGCTATCAGCCAACCTGAGGACATCAATGTGAGCCGAGCATATGAGGACTCCATCGTTTCTTTCCGTTCAGACGGAGACTCAGTTGCAATCGCTACGCCCGTGTCCTCTAATAACAGTCAACCATCACGGGAAAGCATAGCCCAGGCAGATCATACAGCGAGTGAAAGAGACCAGCGATTTGAACCCAGAAGACTACGATCCCCACCGCAAGAGAAACCGCAGCAAGTCAAAACCACCCCCGAACAATCAGACGACAAAGCTCAAGTTGGGAAGCAAAACCAAGACGTTGAGCTGGTTGATGTCTCAACGCCGCCGTCCAGCTCACCTCCAATCGTCCAGAGCAAAGATCTCTACTGTGCTAATACCCAAGTCGAGGGGAGGACTGGAATTCTCCTTGACTTCAACTCCACTCCTCCAAGGAAGAGTCTTCGGGGCGTGGAAAACAAATTGTCGATGAGCCCAGCCCTGCAAGATTTGGAAGGCATCAATTTCCAAGAAAATGTTGCACAAAGTGTTCTTTCGAGAACAGAAACCCAGATATACTCTTTCAGAAAGCCTGAGCCAGTCGGTTCGAAGGACTCTCCCAGCCTGAGGATTGGAGAGAGCACTGGTGGTACGACGATCTCTACATCTGACGATGCACCATCCGATCTGGCTGCCCTCCGAGAAAAGCTCGCACGCCTTTGCAAATTTGTGGAGGAAACATTGCGCCACCATGTGCCTGAGCCGCTCCGAGACATGGACTTGCAAGCTCTCAGGAAGTACGAACAAGAGCTCAAAGACATACTCTCCTTGCACCAACGAACAGTGAAGGAAACTGCCTCACGGACTGCCGAAAAGCGACAGGAAATTCTCTCATCTCACACACCTCAGGGAACAGAAGCTGAAACAGCCATGGAAGGAGAACATTCCAAGATATACTCCCCCACACCCTCGGTCAGCTCTCCTCCCGTGGAAGCTCCTTTTGAGCAAAGCAATAGTAGACTTAGTCTACGTTCCGTGGAGACATCTAGTCCGTCTAAATTCAATGTGCAAGCGAAGGAATTTGTCCCAACGGGTGCTGCCAGGAATCCCAGTTTCAGCGGATGGCGTGATACTAAGCCTAGCCCTCCAAGCTCATCAACGTCCGAGTCACGAACTGGACAGTCGCAGCATTCTCGCCAGAATAGTCAAGATCATATGCTTATTGATTCGAGTGTTCCTTTTTCGTCACGATTTGCATCTCAGCCCTCACCGCGCGGACGTCAGGCCAGTGAGAATCATATCTTTGGTGATCATTTATTACCCGGTAGGGCAAGACTCCATGGTAAGACAAATGGGAGCGAAGCATTATCGCCAGATAAGAACACGTTGAAGGGCACGTATTACTACATGTATGATCTCTACCTACCATTGCTGACCCTCATTTGTGTAGAGCCGAATGATTCTCGTTCGAAAATCTTGACTCCAACCAAGCCACTGGCCCTTACTGTGCCTAGAGCAGGACCTTCCGTCTCCGAAAGCATAAACACGTATGAAACATCGGACTCGTAATTCATCAACATCACTAATGTATCGTGCAGTACCGGTGAACCTTCTCCGAGGCCTTTGGGGTTGGCAACCACCGCGCCAGGGACTGGGTCTAACGCTGTGAGGTCAAATTCAGACTCTGGCCAATCTACTCCTACTCCTGTGCCCAAGGCAGTCAAAGCAATATATAGAGCGAATTCGAAGGTGAGTGCCCATTCGCAGGTGAATGCATTGCAACGGTCTATGCATGCCCCGAAGGTGCAAGAGAATCCCATGACCATGAAAAATCCAATCGCCGCAGCATTGGGCGGCCTCGGAGGGTCGATCTATGCAACCCCCGTGGTGCAAAAGCCTACTGTTGCAGCACCTGAGAATCGCAAGTCCAGTGGCCTTCAAGGCTCGAGATGGGCAAGCTCTGAGACTCAAAAACCACTACGTTGATGATCGCATACAGCATGAATTGCGTCGTCTGAATCCGATTGTCTTCTCTGACTGATATTACCTTTTTTCCTTTTCTCTTGATTATGTGTCACGAACCTTCCAAATGTGAAATCTGTACGATTAGCTAGCCCTCACTGTTCTTTCTCTAGTTAGCATGCAACGCTGATATGTATTTGTGATTGTCATTGCCCTTTTCAGCACCTCTACCTCTGGTCGTTCCGAGAGCACCTTCCTTATGCCCCATCGTATGTAGGCAAGATGAGTGGCCACAAGCGCACTCAACCCAAATATCTGCCATCAGAACATAAGCATTTTGACTATATGATGGTGCTACATTGCGTACACAGCTACTATATGTATTGGGACCAATAATGGGATCTAGTTCGTCTGCAAAGATGGTGACTAAGGCTTGCACTGCTTGGTCGAATCTATTAGACCGTCGACCCTGTGATTGAGAAAGTGGAACATACGGTAAGAGGCGCTAGTTGTTGCCATCTTAGGCTTAACAGCTATATAAAATTAATGCTCAAATGATCCTTGACAGGGGCAAACGATACAGGTCGCATCCGTCAGTCCTTTCCTTGTTCGGGATCATGCACAGTTTAAAGCTCTTTCTAAATCATCCAGCCTTGAAGGTAGGTCAAACGAACAGCAAGTGCCCAAAGATAAAGACGAAGATGCAGATCTAGAGTCTGTAAACATCAAGCAATGACCAAATGCTAATCACGACCCAGTGGCTTCCATCTACTGTCCCAGTAACTGTGCCGTTGTCGCCTGAACGCCGGCTACTCAACAAATGCTCTAAAAATGACAACAAGGAGGTGAGTGAACACAATGAGCGTGAGAGACCAAGTATACTCTATTGCTGCTGTTGCTGCTGCGGCGGTAAGGACGGCGTCACATTCCCATCAATCTTGGGTCTTTTGGGATCATTGGCATTGCTTGCTGGAGCAGGCCCGCTGCTGCCAGAGACAGATGCATTCGTCACGTCACTTAAAGGCGGCCGTTTCCCATTAACATTAGGTGGTCCAAATCCGGCTCTGTTTGCAGCTGCGTTGCTTGCAGCAAGTTTTGGATCGAGATTTTGCCGAGTCAGTGGGCGGTATGATGAAGTTGTCTGACCCCTATTCATCATTGGACTGCCAATACCACCAGGAGCGCCAATTTTTCGATGCATGTCTGTTGAAGGATTGATAAAGTCGCGCGTGCTGCTTGAAGCTGGTGAGGCTCCCGCAAGCATTGGCTTCGATATGGGGACACTCTTGCTGTGATCGACACCTGCTGTCTTGCGGATCGAGGGACTTTCGGCGTGGGGATCAAATTGGGGAGCATTCACAGCAGTATGTGGGTTTTCCCGCAACAAATCTACTGCTCGAGCTGAAAAGAATGAGGCAGGAGGAACAGAGGGTGAACTGGCCGGGGGAGCTGTGTCCTGAGCTTTAGCGTCATATTCTCGTTTGATAGGCATTTGCCCTGCAGCACTTGGCAAGCTTGAATCTTGGCTAGTCCTTGGTTGATCTGGGGGTGCCATTCTGCCGTTTTGAAAATTCTGCTGTTGTCCTTGCGGGACAGATTGCCTTTGTCCGACATGTTGGTTTTGCGGCGCAGGATTGTGTCTTTGATTGAGAGTGGGCGGAACGGAAGGTTGTCTGTTGTTGAATGTTTGGTTGAACGGCGGCCTTTCTGGCCTAGATGGCGTCACGACCGCTGGGTTTGGGCCTTGAAAGTTCCCCTGAGGGCCTGCCTTCACAGGAGTCGGTGGTTGCGGTTTTGTCTGGGTTTCTGGTTCCAGCACTATCTCATCCGGGTTTCCAGAAGCCGTCACTCCAAAATCGGCCTCGTCAAAAAGATCACCTAAATTCATTAGCCACGAGTGAACAGAAATAGATGTCCGGCTCTTTTGCTTACTCCCAAACTCCCCATCACCATCAAACGCAGCGGTATCATTCGTACTGGTGCTTTTCCCAGCATTTGGTAGCCGAGGAGGAAGGTCGTCATCCTCTGGGACCGGCTTTGGTCGAACAGGCTCCTTCTTTATCGGCGCGTAGTCAGGATGCCGGTGAAGTTCGTCAACATCCCATCTCGCCTATAGCTTCGTCAGAACAAGACATTGTTCGAGTATCATGCCGAGGTTAGCAACGTACAGGAGTGGCTTTCACTTTGGTAACTTTCGAAACATAATCTTTGTCGTAGATGCAATTACCCAGAACGTTGCCAAAATTCCTCAATGCACGTTTAAGTGCATCAGTAGTTCCTTCTTTCTTGGCCTTTTCAAAAGCAGCAGCCTTTCCTTTGCAATTCTCAATATGACCATAACCGATGTCCTGAGTTGATCCAGACCCGTTAGCAAGAACCGCTGTGTGGAATACGCAACCGTGAACACATACTTCATGGTAAGTACCATCCTTCAGTGTCACCCTCACAATGACCGATAGGCCCAAGCTGATCTTCCCAGTATTTTGACTTTCCTCAACCTGTCACGGAGTACCCATTAGCCATTTCTCCCTATCGCCACCCGCACGTATTCTCATCCATTTTTATCGAACATACAAAATCAATCTGAATATTCTGTATTGAACTCGACCAGCCGTTGAAGCCGAACACCTCATTGGCAAGATTGATGCATTTATCCGCGGATAGATAGTGCACCTTCTGTCCCGCGGCGCCAGGCCTCGAGGAGATGTATTCGGGGCCCAATTTCTTATCTAAGCGTGCTTGGAGCGTAGCAATTTCCTGCGCCGTATACTCACTGATCCGCCGAGGCAGCTCTTCAAATGGGTTGCCGGACATGTTTCCTGTCGAATTTGGCATCATGACGCATACTGGACCACTGCGGTGTTGGTCGCCAACACTGGTGTGAGTCGCGATTAGCTTTGGTCAAGGGCATAACAATACGATAGAGGATCGCATATTAGCTTACGCGGGCATAATTCGGTGATATAAACAAGCTGCAAAATATCAGGTCATTGAAGCCTGCACGTATTTGTGCTTTGTCGAGCAGGATGATGAGGCAGTGAGGCTGATGAGTATTCGATGAGAAGCACGAGGCAATAAGACGCGTTAGGCAACACGGACATGTCGCGACATCACGTGATCATATACATGAATACAATTACAGGACCAGCACTCCATTCATTGATTGGTAGTTGCGTTTCTGAAAAGCTATTACTTCAAATTTTACGCAGTAGACCTGGTTGGATAGTAATTGTCTGCGTTAAATATTGTAATCAGCCCGCAAAGTTGTTGCAGCCTGCCTCAGGCGGCCAGCCTCACCGAGTCCAATACCAGAAATCACTGGACTACGAGACTGGCGCTGGGAACAAGTCCAAGGTCTTTTAGAGACTCGCCAAAGAACTCGGCATTGAACACTTTTCTAGGAAAGTTTTGCACGAAGCTTTGCACTTCAATGCCGTCCTCTTGTTGCAAGGCTGCGGCAACTTCGAACAAGGTAGTAGTGACGGGCATTGTTTTCATGACGTTCCCCTTGGGCGTCTGGAATCTCAGCCGAGTCTCAGTGTAAGCAGATGCGGGCTTGGAGGCAACAGGTCCGGAGGTTGTAGGCGCTTGAGCAGCTGGTTGTGCAGGAGGTGCCATGCCGGCACGCTCGGCTTTCTCCCGCTCAGCTCTCAGTCTCCGCTCTTCTTTATCCGCTTCGATCCTGGCTTTAATGCGACGCTTGGCTTCAAGCTCGTCCAGTTTCTCTTGCTTCTTCTTGGCGGCTTCCTTCATCATCTCTTTCCTCTGCAGTTCTTCCTTAATGTCTTGCGATTCTTTGGTGCTCTTCCGTCGAATTTCCTGCACCGAAAATATCAGTAGGTGACGTTGAAGTGAGCCACGAGAATGCCCTTACCTCATTCCTTTTCTGATCCACTTTATCCTGCTCAGCCTGTAACGCTCGCTTTGCAGCCAATTTCTGCCGGATCTCCTCCAATCTGGCCTTCTTCTCTTCCTCTGTTAAGGGGGCGATCTCTTCCGTTGACTCTGAGAAGTCCACATGTCCTGACTTAGATGCATGAAATTCTGCCTGTGCCTGGCTGCGGAACTTTTTCCCACATTCGTTACAAGCCAGACTGCGGGGTTCTTCGCCGGGTTGCAACGCGGGACCATCATCAGACTCCCCTTCTTTCGACCCAGCAGCCTTTATTTCCTCTAACGACTTGTCTTGATTTTCCTCAAGCCACTCTAAAGCTCCTTGGACTGAAATTAGGTCAAAAGAAAAGAATCAGTACTCAATGCGAGGTGAACGGTGAGGGGTGCCCTTACGTCCACCGCTTCTTGCCACCGCCAGTTGCGCTCTCTCTTTATCGAAACCCATTTCAATGAGCTGATCCAAGTCTGAAGTAGCCATCTTTTAAGCCCAGGTGATGATGCTGAGGAAGGCGATGCCCTGACGTGGGGGAACTTTCGAGAGTTTTGAAGCGGAAGTAGAGGCCGAGCCGTATAGACCCTAAAGCTTCCCTGATATGCTAGAAGAGAATGTCAAGGGTTAAGTACGTTGGCCTCTGCAGCTGCTCAGGGGCTGGAGTAGGAATGGACAAGCTTGAGAAGGAGATTGTAACAGCAGTAGTTAAGATAGATGCCAGCTTACAAGTGACGTATAGCCTTTGAGCCTAGGCGGCGGAGTGAAAGATGCGGGATGGTCCACTTTTACTAATTAATGGCGGAGTTCTAGGTACCAACCAACCATCAGAGCTCCGGAAATCTTACATCTTAGTACTGTTCTAGCAGCATAACCGTGATGGCAAAGAACTAAGATTTGGAGGGTTGAGATAATGAAAGAAATGAAGGTTGTGTTGTTTTCACCGAGAGCGCATATAATATAGCTCAGTCTTACAAATGCTAGAAGAGTGTCCCCTACGGAATACAAAGTAGTATATAGTGATAAAGAACAAAGTTGGGCAAGAAGAAGAATGTAAGCAGAGCTGAGTACTGAGTAGACAACAGTTGACAGGGATAGCCAGCTGTGGGCCGCGTTCCTGAAAGTTGCTCTTTCATCAAAAGGTTCTTTTTCACTTCGCCGATCATTCCATCGGATTTCTAGTAGAGTACTCCGGCCCATTGGGTGATAACTTTGAAGATATCTGGTTATTCTCGATAAAGCTGGTCTCTTGTTTAAAGATTAAGACTGATGCAGTGAAAGTCTGAGTTACTAGGTCATATCAAAACGCCCGAGGTTATAAGAGCACAAGCAGTCAAGATTTTCTCTCTGCTCAGAGAGGGATTATTCCGCCGGTAGAAAGATGCCACAACCATACATGTGCCATTTCCTCATTCCTGATAAACAAATCGGCTTCTTTGGTTCATGATCGGAATGTTTCGAGGATCTCAGCCTGTGGATCCCCGAGGCTGTCAACAGAACCAGAACATATAGATCTAGAGTATCGACGTAAGTATTCATTCAGTGAGCCCAAGCGCGAAAGACACTGTCAGTTCGAAGGCTTAGTTCGTGTAGAGGCCGACACTTTAGATTTGCCCAGGTCATATCTCAACTGTTGAAAGTATGGCGTCGATCGTATAAGCACCTGTGATGACATCACCTGACTTGAGCCAAACGTCGCTGATTAATCAGCAKACAGACACCAATGAGACCAAAGCGGGACTTGCGATATGGAAACGATCCATTATTATTGCAATCAGCTACGTACCTTACTCCGTGATCACCTTAACTACTCCCTTGGCCGAAACAACCGCTTCACGATCTCCCCTACCTTATCCTACCTCCACATTACCGACTAACTTAACTCATCCATTTCCTTTTTTCTGATTTGGGTGTCTCTCCCATATCTCATCTGCCTCATTCACACATTTATTCGCCTTTATTCGTTACAGCGATGTCCATTCTTCTGGAACCGCCTGAGTTGGGGTTCAAACGTGGGTCTTTCCAACCCAGGATTTGTGGGAGACTGGAACATATACGCTGACTGAGACATCAGGCCCTTTCGATCGCGAAGTCTGCGAGATTCTACACTTGAGCAATAATAATTCAGAGCCCGTGGTCTTCAAGGTATTTAGCAAATGCGCCCTCAGGTAGAGTAGCCTACCATGATCGCACACTAACAAACCTGTGTGCGTTAGGTCAAAACAACCGCTCCGAAACAGTTCGTACCTCCTCCAGAATACTAGCTTTGCACGTCGGCCTCGAGTATTGACTGACAGTCAACCAGCTACTGCGTTCGCCCTAATTCAGGACGGATAGAACCTGGCAAGAATGTGGATGTCCATGGTTGGTTCATACCTTGAAGTTAGTGCTTAGCCCTTGGACGGGAGTGCTGATCAGTCGAGCAGTGCTACTTCAGGCGATGAAGGAAGAGCCTGCGCCTGATGCCAAATGCAAAGACAAGTTCCTGGTTCAGACCGTCGCCGTGACTGGTGACATGGAGTTTTCCAATGTTTCTTCAATTGTTCGTCTGTCCCTTGCTGCAAGTTGCCTGTTATACTTTCTCTGATAGCTATCTAGTTCGAGAAAGCTTCAAAATCCTCCATCCAGGAGCGCAAGATCCGTGTGAACTGGCTGCCTGCAGAGTCCTCAAACGTTGAGCAGGGGAAGGAGACAAATGGAATTGTGCGCCCCCTTGTCGCATATCAGTTATGAAGTCCTAGATCGCTCGTGACTGACTACCTATCCCAGAGTGCACCCGAAGAAGAACCCCCTTCCTATACGTCACCCGGCGCGAACTATCAAACTCCTGCAGTTGGGGCGGCTTCCACCAAAATTTCCAATGACACGTCACCTATCCCACCGCCAGATTTCAGCGAGAAGCCCAAGCGGGATGCGTTCGCCCAACAATCGAATGAGGCTTCAGTCACGTCTGCCAAATCAAACACATCGGGTATCCCAGCTTCAGCCGATGAGCTGAAGACTCAACTTTCGGAGGCTAATGCTCAGATTCAAAAACTCAAAGAGAGACTTGCGGACCAGGGATTGAGACAGAGGAAGATTGGGGGTGAGAACGAGAAAACAGCGCCTACGATGCAACAACAGCAGGTTCAACCCGTCGACGCAGGTGTGCCATTGCAAATCGTGGCCGGGCTTTGCTTGCTAAGTTTCTTGATCGCGTACTTCTTTTTCTAGACCAATTTTCGCCTTTTCGAGCCCCTTTCTGTCCGGACTTTTCTTTTCTATGTTTCTATTACTTACAGACCCACTGTATTCTGTTGTGAAGAGCCCTGTCTCTCTAATTTTCTTCCAAGGTGTCAGCTTGCACTCGTATGCCTTTCATCCTTTACAGCTTGCTTTTTCCCGTTTCTTGTCTTCCCATTCCTTTTGAAAGTATGATTTCCTAGTTACCCTTGTGATACGAATCCAGCAAATGGCAGCGATTTCTGTCCGTACCTTGCGGAAGAGCATGGGGATTTGTCTATCAAATACCACGCGCAACTTTCGCTTGTGTCGTACGAATTTCCTTTAAACCTCGTCTGGCTTTGCCGCTTGACTATCTTTCATTCTTCCTCTCGGTCTTCCTGTTCCTGGCACCCAGTTGCTAACTGTTTGCAAGCCATTGTATTTTCTTAGACGATTCTCGACACGTTCATAACTAGGCTGTATCGGGTACATTATGATGACGCTACTGAAATGCCAATGAATGTTTCTTCAAGAACATCTATATTCCAGATACTTTGCTTGTTAAGCACTCAGTGTCTATTATTATTCCTCGCAATCTATGTAAGACAGTAGTCGTTCTGAATGTTGGAATAACTGGGCCCTAAATAGATGTACACTTTTGGTCCGAAGTTGTTGGCAAATCATGTGGCTCCAGTCCACCCTTTCATGTCCTCGTAACTTGAAAACGAGTTCTTTTAGAGGTTACACTTGGACAGACAGGTGCTTCAGAAATCAATTCTGAATTTCACTTTCTTTCCAACCATCTCCTTCGTCCGTTCCGGCCGCAGCAGCGGATATCCCCTCCCCCGCTCGCCCATTGCCGCCTCCACCAACGAGACGACCACCCTGCGCTCTCTTGACACGGCACCACATACCCACATTCTTATCCAGGATGAAAGTCCAGATGACCCAGATCCAGCTGCGGTGGCAGGGGAGCGGCTCGTAGAACTCTCGCGCGATGCGGTGAAGCTCATGAAGTTTCGTCCACGGGATGGCCGGGAAATCGTGGTGCTCGTTATGCAAGCCGACATTGTAGGTCAGGATGTTGAGGGGCCCATAGTAGGAGTATGTCTCTGGTGGCGGAAGGGAGTCTAGAGGGTGCGGTTGCTGCTTTTGCTTGCTGTGCATTTTCTTCTGCTCTTCGATGCTTTCTGTGCCGCCGCTCTCCACCCGGGAGAAGAAGTAGTGCTCTGCAATAAAGTGGCCGGCACAGGGGTGCAGAGAGCCGGCGAGGAAGGAGCTGAGGAGTAGGTAGAGTATTGGCTGGAGGGAGCCGCCGCAGAACTTGCTGAGGGCATAGTCGAAGGAGAGCTGAGTGATGAGGTTAAGTAGGTGGATATAGGTGAATGGAGGACTGTAGATGAACATGGGGCGGACGGCGTAGAAGAATATCTGGAAGGTGCAGAAGAATGCCTTGCCCAGGAGAGAGTCTAGGAAGAAAGCTTCAACGGCGGTGGGCAGGTCGGTGTCGAGACCTGCGACGCCGAGAGATTTGTGATGTGTGAGGTGGTACGGCTGTAGGGAAGGATAGACAAAAAGTCAGCAGGTGGGCGTTTCTTTTACACCATTGCTCCGTGTATCAGTGTTTCAAAAGCCACATACCCGGAAAGCGGCACTGTATGGCAGTCCAATTGGAAGATTGGCGAAGATTGCCAACAACCGATTAGCCATTGCTGAACGAAAGGCCAAATTATGCGAGATCTCATGGATCGCAAGGAATAGATTCTGGTTTGCAGTTGCCCCAATTATATACGCCGTTGCCCAGAATCGCCATGAAAAGAATGATGTATCGCGAAGGAGATATGCGCAGCAAATCTGAAGGGTAACAACACCCAGAACGACATATTTAGTGAGAGGCTCAGGCCCGCAGAGCTTGGTCACCTAGAAATTTTGACAGACAGTTAAGCAAGCTGGTCGTGATGTTTAGCACAGAGTACACCTACCTCTGGATGGGCCTTGATGATCGCCTGCCGTCTCGACCGATGAGGCTCCTCAGTATAGGTCCAGAAGAATTGATCTTCGACCGCCGACTGGTCCGGAGGTGGAATTCTCGCCGACGGTTGAGTATCCGATGAGGACTTATCGCCCTGGCTCTTTGCGGCGGACACGCGGAGGTGAGGCGCAGAGGCAGTTGCAACGACAGAGGGCATGGTGGTATAGGGGAATTGCAAGACTTGTAACGACTTAGTCCATCGATGCAACAGGCAAGAAAGAGTGAACTTGAAAATGAAGAATATATGGGTCAATGGACGTTGAGCCTTGACGATCAGACAACAATAATAATTGGAGACCATTCGACTCGGAGCGGATAGTTTCCACGTGGGGCTACAGCGGCACATGATATGATTGACGGGCAAGTCTCTAATTTTATAACCTGTAGGACAGGGCAGCAATGGCCCTGGATACGTGGATGAATAGGTGGTTGATTCATTCTTTGATTCTATATATGCTGAATTTCAAGCCTAAGTCGTATCATTCTGCTTTTTTCGAAGCATTGAGCTCTTAGGCTCATCATAATATCCACATCAAGTATCCCAGAACACTATGGACATTCTTTTAGTAATCGTCTCCTCTACTTATGACTTCCTTTACGGTTGGTCTGAGGAGGATGGTCTGTAGTTAAGGTTAGCTTCTGTTCCCCAGCATCACGGTGTAAGTCTTGTCCATACATGTTCGAACTGGGCGGTGTATGAGCCCTTGATATCGCAGAGAGGAGGATAATCCTGAACGATACCCGACGAAACAAGGTTATTTAACTGGAGAGGTATGTCAGTACGGTAGAGACGGGAGATTGCACCGGAAGTGGCAGAGTATTGACGTACTCCAAGGAGATATTTCTCTTGGCCTAGTCGGTCAAGATACCGACGGCAGAAGGGCAGCGTGCCGAAATTCTTGTTGATAACATTGAGCAAGTTCTTCGCGGACGAGAGTCTCAGAGGAACTGAAGGGGCATCAGGGATCAGGGCATAGTGGGAGGTTTCCATCTGCAAAAAAAAAAATGTTGGGTAAGCAAATTCCGAACGCAAGCGATGGCGTCTTCTTGAAAGCACTTACGTCTTCTCTCACGTAGCCCTTTCCAGTACTACCGAAGGTCTCGATGGCGAAGGTTTCACCCTCCTCCATCTTGGTTTGGTCACTGCCCTTCACAATCGGCACACTCTTGCCGCCATGGATAATGTGCTGATCGATATTGTGACCGTTCAGGTTCCGGATGCACTTCACAGGGTACATCGTGCCGTTGAGCTCGACTTCGTAACTCTCCATGGCCTCCTGGATGGCTGCACCGATGTCGCTCATTCGCACATCGATACCGGCTTCCTGCAGTGGAATCGTCAGCAAGAAATCCTCGATAGCTTGAAGGTTGCGGTTCGACGAACCCGAATACCGGTGTTGGTAGCATCCTTGACGGCTTCCAGCAGAGGGTCATAGACCGGATCAAAAGTCATAGTAAAGGCACTGTCAACAATGCGACCGTTGATATGAGCACCAAAGTCGACCTTCATCACATCTCCTTGTTGCAACACCATCTTGTTGCCGGCATTGGGGGTGTAATGAGCCGCACAATGATTAATGCTCACACCGCACGGGAAGCCCATACCACCCTTGAGGTTATCACCTTCCTCTAGTCCCTGGTGACCAGTCAGAGCACGTACTGCATCCTCAATACCCTCGGCAATTTCCGTCAAGGTCTGGCCGGGCTTGATGGTCTTCTGCGCATACTGGCGGACCTGACGGTGGACCTCGGCAGCTTGGCGGTACTCCTGCAGGAAGTCGTTGTTCATGCGATCAAGATAACGCTTCTCCTCGTTGGTCGTGCGGTAAGAATTCTCGTTCTTGTATTCGACGATTTCGCCCTCGGGATATTGGTTGTTGGGGAAAAGATTCGATACTGGGACACGCGGAGGAGAACTCTGAACCTTGGCGCCTCCCTTCTTCTTCTTCTTGGACTTGCGCTTCTTCTTTTTCGCAGCTGTAATCCCGGGGTTGTTAGTGAGAATTCCCCAGGTCTGACTGATGGTCATGTCAAACATGTACGCACCTCCGCCTGCACCGGCCTCCGGAGCAGCATTTCCATCTTCCTTCTCATCGTCCGAGTCATCTTCCGCTTCACCAGCTTCTGTCTGACCGACGGTAGAGGTATCCGCTTTGGCGTCACCATTCTGGCCGTTCACTGTAGCGAAGAATCATGTTTCATTAGTATAAGCCGACTTGACGCAATTGTAGACAATGTATCGGATTCGAAGCGGAAATACTCACAGTTGAGGTCCTGCAACTTCTCGCTAACCTGAGCCGCCATAATGACAACCTTTATAGAGTAAGGAAAAGACCGACGGCAGAAAACAAAAACTGTGTAGCTTGGTGGGAAGGAATTCTGGACGAGGGACAAGAGGCGAAATACTTTGATGGGGAAAGTTCTGTGCCAAGACTGAGTGCGGTATAGACGACCGGGCGATAATGCCTTATGACGATATCGGGGGCAAAGAAGCTATGATAATAATGCTACAATATTAATAATTTGATTGATGTGAGGTATCACTGAATTGTGACTTGGTCTAGTTTCCGGGATTTTGTGGGGTAGACGTATATTGTGGAAGTCGTCTATAAACGGCGAGGATGCTGCGCAGATCTAGATAACAATACCTCCCGGGATAAGGGAATATGTGGTCTACGCAGTAGTCGATTGAAACATAACTAGAAGCTGGATACTAAATCAATATAAGATTGCGCATAATTATTATCAGATGACACGCCCAATTCTAGTAAATCCAGCGGGTCTTCAGTTTTGCCATATAGGAGTGGAGAGGGCCTGGGATCTTTATCAGATCTACATCCTGGCTATGTCCGACTCCAATGACGCACCTACGACGGCGGGAATTCCCCGTCAGCTCTTGAACAATCCGCTCTCCAGCCCAGACAGTTTCCTGTCATCAACTCTCCTTCTTTCTATAGAACTAGATGTGAACTCAACGAATGAGAAGTGATGCCATCTCCTCGTGTGAGGACTTTTACTCCATACATTCTCAATGCTTCCTGGCCGCCATCAATCCACCGGACTCGAGCGTGCACGGCTCCATTTTCAACGGCGTCAGCCCTATATGCAGCCAGTCATGAACCAACATTATACGAGATACTCGATGTGCCGGTGACGGCGTCAGCAGCAGAGATTAAAAAGTACGATAGTTTGCATCGTCCAGCGCCCCGTCCCTCGCCCCCTCACCTACCATCTTTTCTACTGTCGGCACCGCTAACGTAACCCGCATCGTCAGAAAATTCTACTCCCTCTCCCTCCATCATCACCCAGACCGCAATCCCGGCGACCCGAAAGCCTCCTCCCGCTTTGCCCGCATCTCCTCCGCCTACCACGTCCTCAGCAACAGCGCCAAACGCTCCGCCTACGATCGCGAACACGGCATCTACGCCCAACATGGCTCCTCGACACACAGCACCGCAAGCCCAGGCCAACACCCGATGGGTAGCCACAGTAGCTACAGCGCAAATCTCCACACCAAGGGCGCCTCCTACGCGGGATCCAGACCGGCCAGCGGCCTGAGCAAGCGGCGCGGGCCTTTCCGTGGTCCGCCTCCGTCGTTCTACGCGCACGGCGGGTACGGGAGTAGCAGACGGCCGCCTCCAGGAGGTGCGTCAGCATCCTCGTCCTCTGCGGGTGCTGCGGGCAGCGCCCGGGATGAGGACCCGACCTCTTTCATTTACCGGAATCCCGTTTACCACTTCAATGCGCCGGGGCATTACCGAACTCAGTCAGCGGAGGATGCCCGGCGGCAGCAGCGGCGATCGAGAGAGATGAGTGCTTTGAACGAACAGTACATCGGCCGTGCAGGTGATTTTGCGCTGCGCTTCGTGATCGTATGTGGAATTTTACTAGGTGCGGGGGCCATGACTGGCTGGCTTCGCTGGCCGACCACGTCCAAATCCGGCACTTCAAACCGGCGGAAGGAGGGCTAGGGTCTTCCAACGACGGATAGTGCGATATCGAAGTGGCACTTGTTTTGGGACTGTGTGGCATACTCTGTGAGAGTATTTCATCATATACACACATTCGAGGCGGCTTGATGATGACCTCGAGACAGCGCGTGATATTTGAGTGTACAGTATAGCATAGATCTACGCAAGAGAATGGCCTCCACAAACTTTGGACGTCAAACAAATGAAATTCGGACCTGATATACAGTGATCTTCGTGGTATACGATACATGAAATAGACTAAGCCCACCTCAACAGAGATCCACGTCCACTCCAACAATGTTTTCCAGCGCTTACATCAACGCTCTCCGACCGCGACTTCACATAGTAACTGCGGAGCCATATGGAGACACATGGAGACCGTGAGAACAGCCAACTCAGAAAACTCTAAATTACTATCAGATCAACACACAACTGCTGTTGGCAGCTTCTTGAAAAGTATTTTCAATTCGTACTGAAAAAAGATTTCGGGGCATTGGAAACTAGGTGTGGAGGATACTCGAGGTGCGAAAAATGTTTGGTCTGAGAAACCATTTAAGCCTCGAAGGTGAAGCTGGCACCGACCTTGTGGGCGGCCTGGTTCAGGTTCTGGGTGTCGAAGGAAGCACCGAGACCAAGGGTGACGCCAGGGCGGAGCAGGACGTTGTAGGCCAAAGCGGCAATACCACGGTCGTTGATCTTAGCCTGCATTAAAGGAACACAGATTAGCGGAATTTGGTTTCACAACAGAAGAAGCTTCCACATACCTTGGCGAAGGAAGAGGGGTCGAGTCTGTACTTGCTGGCAACCTCGAGGCCAACAGAGTTGCCGGCCTTGGAGTCCCAGGTGGCCTTGGCACCAGCCTCAACCTGCTGGTTGACGCGGTGGTAGTAGCTGGCGGAGAAGACGGTCAGGTTGTTGCCAGCAGTGATGGCAGCGGTGTACTGGGGAACGCTGTAGCCGACGGCAGCAGAGTACTTGGTGATGGCAGCCTTCTGGACGTCGTAGCCACCCTCAGCACCAACAAGGAAACCCTCGTGGCCAAGGACAGCGTCGAAGTTGGCGGAGGGGCCGTTGAGGAGGTCGAAGAAGGCACGAGCGTGCAGGTTGGGCTGCTTGAAGTAGAGGTTGAGCTTGGCACCCTTGGACTGCTTGGATGGCAGGTACTGGGTGAGGATCTCAGCCTTGAGACCCTTGGCAATGTTGTTGTCGAGCTCGAGCTTGGTGTCGAGGGCATTGGCGGTGGTCCAAGCCTGGGTGAGGGTGAGACCTGGGTGGGGACAGAATATTAGCATCATGGAATGAGCGACTATCCTGGTCATGAATAGAAATCTCAAGTATGTTGACGAGACCTGGCCGCATGTAAAGGAGAACATGGACCTGGCATCGCCGGATTTTCTGGTGCTGGGATCAGGTGGTTTGCGCATTATGGGGCGTTTACCAGTAGGCAGGTCGACGTATTTGGCCTCAAGCTATACGGATAACGAGTTGTGGGTCAGCGCAAATTCGGCCCATTGAGCTCTGTAAAGCTCAGGAGGGCGCAAGATGCGAGACTTACGGAGCCAGCAATGGGACCCTCGTGGGCAGACTTGCCCTTCACGTTGAAGGTGACGCCATTGGGAGCCTTGGACTTGACCTCGAGGCTGGCTGAAGGCAGGTGGTCAGCTTAATCGCGCAACAGTGTATAAAGATGGTAATGAGACTTACCAGCGCTGGTGTGGTAGAAGTCCTTGTTCAGGAGCTATATAACGCAGTGTATTAGCACGCAAGGATCCTTCCCGACAAGCTGTCGTTTGCGCTATTTTTCTTTTTTTACAACCAGGAACCAAAAGGAAGGCATACATCGTTAGCCGCCTTGGCAATGTCAGAGAAAGCAGCAGGAGCAGACATTGTGAATGACAGAGTATAGGATGGTATTAGAATGGTAAGAGAGATAAGGTAGCTGTTGGCTCAGGAGGTTTGTGATGATGGAGGGGAGAAGAAGTGGAAAGCGATGGGGAAGAACGAAGAGGTCGGCAGAAGGTTGAGTTGCCAAACAATGGGGAAGCCACGGGAAAAGGATCTTGCGCCTATTGGTTGTTGCTCGGGTTGCCGGTAAAAGCCGCTAAATCGCGTGACGTTGTCTTGATGCCTTAGGTTGCACGGTTCGATTCCCGCCTTCGGTACCTGACCTGTACTTAGATCAGGGGTAGGTACTCTCTACTTGGATTGTTTTGGTCTCGACGCAATTACGCAGAATATTGAGCAGTTCAAGGGCAAGTACTTCATGAAAGAAATCCTTTCTCCCAATGTAAGCTAAATGTCGTTGCGATTTCTTGTCCTGCATTTCTTGATATGAACTGCTGTTCATGCCTTGCTCGACGCATTCAATGGACCATGGCTCCCAAGTCGCGCTTACAAACTCCGGGCTTGAAAGAAAAGCAACAATTGAAGAAGATTTCATTAAGGGACGTAAGTTGACATATATCGCAACGCCGTAAGCGCAGTGGTTTTGGACTCTTTGTCGGTCGGGGAAACGGAAAGGACGCCCCAGAAGCTCAAAGAAAGTGACGAATTGCTTTACATATTCTGCAAAACTCTGCTTTTGCAATCCCGGGGGTACTTCCGGTTAATAATCTATACATGTCTCTATGCCCAGAAAATTTTTTGATTTTGACCGACTTGCTGAACCAAAACTGAGAGAACCATTTACTCAACGTGCTCATACTTGGCAGCGTGGATTGCGATAGCTCTGGAAAGTTACTGTATCAGCATCGGAGAAGCGTCGACCGAACATGAGTAGGAGCTCTTACCTTCCACTAGGGTCGGTCTGTTTCGACCATGTCGGTGTCCAACGCTCGACGGTGGATGCGCAAGTTGGGGGGAAGTGCTCGTCAAACATCATGCGGTACCAGTACCTGAAAACTGTTAGAGACTCATGTTTACAATCCAAGGCTTCTGAAATAGGTGAAACTTACGCTTCCTTGGTGTCAGGGATATCGTTACCCCATTCCGGCTTGGGGTTCTTCATCATCTCATCCGTGATTTGCTTTTCGGCCTGATCCTTCAGGCCGTCAATCCAGCTGTAGCCGACACCGTCACTGAACTGCTCCTTCTGACGCCAGAGAATCTTCTCCGGGAGGTAAGGCTTGGTGTCGGGCTCGTCCGAGGTGTCGAAAGCTTTCCGCAAGATGTACTTCTCAATGCGCTCTTTCGTGATCATTTTCTCCTGAGGATCGACACCCATGGCCGCCTCGAGGAACTCCTTGTCCAGGAAGGGCACACGAGCCTCGAGTCCCCAGGCAGAGGTGGACTTGTTGGCTCTGAGACAATCCGCCAAGTGCAAGTTCTTGACAC